TTAGTTTCATTATAAACTCATTATTTAAAAAATAAAATTTTAAAAGACAAAAATTCGTAGAAATGTTGCATACAATGGTTTAATTATAACGCTCATATCACATGCTAATAACTGGCCAAAGTAACTGGTCTCATCACTTTTTGATATTTTAAACACGTTTTATACTCGTAGACTCTGACATTCGATCTATAACGAAATCTATTTCCATAAATGTATTTCTGATTGTGATGATTATAAGATTGAATTAATTTTATACAAAATTTTTTGCACAGAATTGTAATTTATTTTAAATTTTTATTTATTTTAAAAAATTGAAGATAATTTTTGTAGAACTTTTTGAGAGTTGAGTATATATCACATAAAAGTTCTACAAAATTTCTTTTTAATTTTTTTGAAAATATAATTTTATCCTAAAAATTTTGTATGTCATTATTCCTTCATTTTTAATCATTAATGCTTTGTGTTTTTATAAAGGCAATGTCGACTTGAAACTAAACAGAAAATGCGTTATTAAATTTACAATGATTTTAACGATTTAAAAACTGGGTGTTCTTATATCGATATAATATTACAATATCAACATCCCTGATACGTATTAACATAAAAATATTAATGTATTAATATAAAAATATATTAATGTATCTATTAAGATTAATATAAAAGATGATGACTACGCGACTACGAATAGTTTGGCATTAACGCATGCGCCAACAGGGGAATAAAGAACCTATCCGTCTGAACTAGCGGTCGAGTAGAAGAGATGAATTTGGGTAGTCGATGCGACTGAAGATAGAATCGATTGATCCATGATTTAAAGTATTTGGACAGTGCGTTTATGTTAATTCCACATGCAGAAGAAATTTGCAATTCCATTTACATGTTCGCGACGGGGCTGGGAAAGGATGCGAAACAGGAAAGTCGTGTGAGCCGATATCTGAGTATCATATATTGATCCGAGGTGAACATTTGACGTGTCTATATGTATACATTGCCAGTGTGCGCGCTTCGTGAGGAGCAGTGAGGAGAGCCTCGTCGCCAACGGTTCAATTTCCGCAGGGCTGTCTACGATTCGCTCGACATTTATTCCAGGAGGGAAAAAGATGGGTGTTGAGGTGTTCGATTGCTTAAACAATTATCTGCTAGTAGGGCGTTGCAAGAAATCATATCTAGGTAAGCCGCACTCCTGATTCGTCGAAGTTGACGACGCGTCATTACGTTGTTACGAATTTATTGTTACAATGAAAAAGTACTGTAAGAACTGGACCAAGAAAAAGTATCAGGTGCTCCACCGCGGTGTCGGGATTTGAACCTCGAGTCATCTATATTAGCAAACAACCGTTTCGTCGCGAAGCCACACAGCCCAACGGCAGAAACTTAAGTTTATACCTTACAGTACTATTACCGGCAGACAATTAGTTGTCGAATCGTGCCATTAAACCAAATGCAGCAAACTGGTTTTTTTTTTTTTTTTTTTTTTAAGAAAACGCTGTACAATTCTAGATATACAGAGAGAGAGAGAGGGAAAGGGGGGGGGGGAGAGAGAGAGTAAGAAAATGATTATCGCAATCTTCTTCAATTAACTTACTGTGATCTAATCTGAGAAAACCAAGGCTTGAATGAAAAATGTATTTAATCTTATAATATATAATAGATATTTGCTAGTTATCTATATCATTAGTAAAACGATAAAGCAAAGTGCAAACATTTATTAACGTTAATAATAAGTTCATTATTATATTTACAAATTTATGTACAAAAACAAATCTAATATTGCCTATATGTATGCACATATTAATATACTAAAGCGTTTTAAGGAAAATACAAATAGAAATATAAATAGAAAACTAAAATACACAATGCTGCTTGTACAATTGTTTTTATATTTTTGTTTGTATGCACATAAATAATCATAAATCGATCTATTAATCCTTTTTATAAACTTTTATCAAATCTTTCTTCACAGTTTTATTATCAAGGTTCTGGTTAATCAAATGAGTGCCAAAACTTTATATACGTAGTACTATTATAATATAGGTATTTATCATTCTTTTAATGATGTCTTTTATAATATAATAATAGAGCCTTCATGGCTTCACATGACACATGGCACACATTTGCACTCGCATATAAACATAAATTTTGTATATACATTGAGTTGTTTTATATGCAAATCACTTGATAGCATTTAATAAATTGTATTAACAATTCAATTATGGGCTTGTTAAGTCAATTACACGAATATAATACACAAGCGGAGCAGTTCTTCACAGTGTCAAACGTACAAATATCGTATCCTTTTTTGCTACTGTTTTTACAGTTTGTTTATCAAGATTATATATATAATATATAATATAATACATGTGTGTGTATCGTAGTTTTAATTTTTACCAAAGAAAGATTCTATTTAAACTTTAACTAACAGTGTTATACGTGTATATTACGTTTTTTCTGGGACACCTTATATATGTATTTCTACAGCGAAAGTAATGGAAAAGTACTGGGAGACTTATAAAATAGAGGATTGCACGGAAATGGAGAAGATTTATAGGTTTCTTCATAAAAAAACCTAAGATAAATTAAAAACGTGTTGCTCCCATATTTCAAAAGTGACAAAAAAAATTATTTTTCAATTTGACAGAAAATTGACTAAATAATATCAGAGTTAATAATACATGCATTTTTAACACGACCTTTTTTATCATTTTCACACCTCTTAAAAAGCCATTCTTTATGAGTTGTGAGAAATTTTTTAAACCATCCTTTTCAAACTGACAATTTTTTAATTGAGTTAATTAAGTTAGTTTACTTATAATGATTGTTATGGTAATTTTTACTTTACTTAACTCGTTCGTGATAATAACTCGAAAAATCACGTTTTTTTTTATATGTGTTACTTTCGAAAAGTAAAAGAGTAATGTGCATATAAAAACAAAAAAAAAATAGAACTTTTTATGTTCGAAAAATAAGCGAAGGAGGTGGTTATATTCTGTCAAAGTGAATCTTGATGCTTAATAATATTTTTTCGTAAAATTTACAATTGTCAGTTTTCTTTTTATGCCTCTAACCAAAACATACAGATTTTATGCAGTTGTTATTATATACTATATCAAAGTTGGATTGTGAATCTTATCTACGATAAAAGTGACGCATTTTCTTGGAAACAATAAAAAAAAATTACCATATAAATTTATCATCGTGATGATCCTTTCTTTCCTATTTTATAAGTAGATAAGATTTACAATTAGTTTTGACAAAAGTTATAACAGAGAGCAAATTCAAAATATTATGAAAGTTAAATATACCTCCCAGGTCAAAATATTATGATTTTAAATACAATGATAACGACAAAGAAGATTCCTTAAATATACACAAAGACAATAATGAATAGAGAAACGTTTGGGTAGTGTTGCGATTGCAATATCAGGATGTAAGAAAAATATATAAGGTGCGGTTCGGATTCAATTTTTAGATATCATATATATATATATATATATATTTGTATTTATAATATATATTTGTATGTTTTAAATATCAAATATATATGATATTTTGAAATGTAAAACGTTAAATATTTAAATTTTTACTGTGCTAATAGAAGTGCGCATTAAAGAGTTGAGGTACATTATCGAAAGAAAAACTTAACGGCAACGCTCTAAAAGCCGGCATGCAACGAGCCGCGATGAAGAGATGGAGGTGGACGAGCACGTGTTCATCGAGTGATAGAATTTTTTTTCCAAGTTAAATAAGGTAACTTGCTCTTGGTGGGGAAGTAGCGAGCCAATGGATGCGTGAGCGAGCCGTCGTGCAAAGTGAGATAAATGATAAGAGTGAGGGGAGTGAGTGAGCTGGAGAAACTTTGAGGAATCAATGTGCGTAACTTGTGCACGTGATCAAGAGAGACCGTTTGTATGAGAGAGAAAGAAAACGAGGATCGAGCGGAACGGATTTGAGTGTATGAGAAAACGAATACAGAGTACACGGATAAGCGCGAGGGGAAGTAAGATGGATAAATGTGTGTGGAGTATTCTGCAGTAACGTATCTAGGATGTCAGCTAGAGAACTGGGCTCCTTATTTTCCGAAAACAAAAACAAATTAACTCACAAGTAGATTTAATGATTTAAATTCATATAAATTTGATTATTCAGTCTGATGAATGTTGAGATAATTGCTGCAGTGCACATACTTTATTTAAGAAGTATAGTCTTAGAACTTTATCTAAATATTTATAATACATTATCTAAATGTTCGTTTTATTGAATATCCACAGAGAACATAAACTATAACAGTAACACATTACATCAATGTTACAATTTCCTGCTCAATATTATATAATTATTATGTATATGCGTTATATTATACTACATTTATATATCGTTAAGTGGGAAATTATAATATTAATGTAACGTTACTGTTAATACAGCTTATATGTTCTGCGTTAGTTATTGCTCTGATTATACCGAACAGAGCAACACTCTATGATAACGTCGAAATGACGTTAAAATAAAGTGTAATTGATCAAAAAATGAGTTAATCATTTTGGAACTATTTTGACGTCATGATGACTTTTTATTTCGTTTGAATGTCTAGATAGTGCATTGCTAAAATATGAGAGTACTCATATTTAATTTATTCCAAATATTTGGACCATCGGATATTACTTGTGCATGTCGAATAGTGAACACATACTCAAGTACTTAAATAGTCATCGGGTATTGTTGGTTTCAGTCGATATTTCAATTCAGGTCAAATCGTGTCGACCCTGAGATAAAGAGAAACAGAGACATACAAATAAATAAATGCATAAGATGGCAGAAGGTTCACCGACAGGCTTGCGAGAGAGATAGGAAGAAAGGAATGGAGAGGGTATCCATGTATTCGCGACACGAAACTCCGTCGTTGTATATTGCCATCTTCGAAGTGCGTCTTTATCGGCTGCCACGCGTTTACCTCCTCATCACATATACTTGACACAGATGTACTAACTTAATGGCGCGTTCCGATTGCCGTGAGTTTCGTATTTTAATGTCGACAAATTCGCGAAAATCAGTGAAATAGAATAGATTTGTGCGTTACAATACAAGAGCGCATCGTGCTGACAAGTTGGTTAATACGTGATCATAACGAAGATTACCTGTTGTTTCAACTGGTCACATCGGAGAATGTTTCTCATTACACCGGTCGACAATAATCGTTGGGTCTATGCAATGCACGGATTAGAAAAGCCCATGGATCATGTATCTGGTAATGATTTGCCAATGTATAAAAAATCTAAATGTATCTATATACTCATGGAAAAAGATATAGTGACAGGAATTGTGTATATATATATAAAACAAATTTACATAAGTTTTATATTTATAATTAATGTACATAATTAATTGAATAAATTATTTTATAGTTATTTCATTAAAATAGATATATATCTTTTTAATATTATAATTATATTATTATTACCAATAATAATATACCTAACATATATATATTATAACTTAAAATTGTTTATATTCTAAATTATATTATTTATGTACATGCCATTAGTTTATTCAATTATATATATTAATTTTACATATAAAATTTGTATATAGCTGTCATCTTAATACATAGTTGTTACCACTATATAATTTTCTTTAAGTGTGGAGAATATTAGAGTATTGACTGAATATTTCGAGACTCAAAATACTTCTGTTCTTAGAATATGTATTGTAAAAGTGACAGTCGTGATACCGCTATCATTGAGACATTTTTAATTTGAAACGTAATTAATACTGGAATATATAGTTATCTAGGACAATTTTTACGAAGCTAGGAAATTAAAGCTTACAATTAGTTACAGTATTATATAAAATATAACTAACATTTTATACATATTATAATTTTTTACTCAACAATATAAATATAATAAAGTAATAAACATATGTTTGTACGTAATAATTACATTGTTAAATAAGAAATTGTAGCATAGATATAATGTTATCATTTTGTAATATTTTTTTTACCGATTGAAAATCCATATTTAAATTTCTCCTTAGGTGTTTGAGAAAATATTGAGTAAACTTATTTATATATATATATATATATCTAATACATAATAACCTCTAATAATTATATAATTATTAGAGGTAATAATAAACCTCTATAATATATATAATTCAATTTACTAATAATATTATATAACAATGTGCAATCAAGAATATATGTGCAGCATCTAATTAATAATAATGAATATTCAATACTATATAAAGACCGTTAATGTAAGAACATAACTAATACGAATACGAAGCCTATAACAGTCTAACTTTGATCTTTAATTGTTTACATATAAACTATCGCGATACTATGGCTAGATTCGGGGAGACGCTATTAGCGCTATTTGTTTCATTTTATCTTCGTCGTCCATTAGACGTGAGACAAGGACGTACCACACAAATGGCGCTAATAGCGCGCTGCCCGAATGCAGCCTATCACGGATTAAAACAAATTAATAATTAACTAATATACGTAGTCCCCCCCAAAAATAATAATGATTTTTAATTGGGGCATAAAAATGACAGCAGAGAATCGTTTACGTAAAAAATGCTGGGTGATTATTTTCAGGTTTAGTGCAATAATCGCAAAACGTGTCATGCATTGTACACGCTTCGAAAGAAATTCGAAAAAGATGTAATTTCCTTTTTATTTTAGTCATTTCTTAGCGAGCTCGAATTTGTTTATCAGAATACGCTAATATTAGCGGCGCAATCATTGCTGTTTTCAAAAGTGCATATATCTTGCAGTATTTATAATCTAATCACATTGATTTACGCTGCTTGTGGCACGGTGCAGAAAAGATTTCCACAATGACGTTGCGCGTTAACAGTCACTATTTACATATGATATCATTGTAAGTCATATAAAAATATTTCAATACTTTGTATACGACTACCGTTAAGATCAGAAGCATGAAAAATTTCTGTCATAATAGTATAAATTACTACACGTTGCCGCATTATTTTGATAAATTTTATTCTACTAACATATTATACCATTAAGAGAGCTATTTTATTCAAATATGACTATAGAGTTCAGAAAGGATTTGTATAAATTTGGATACTATATTTTTTAATAATTCCTTGCAACTGAAGACTTTTTGTAAAGTCGAAACAAACACATCACTCAATATGTCCGGGTCTGACATAATAGATGGCGCACTAATAACAAATCTATATGATTTTTAGAAAGTACTAAACCTTCAAACATACGTGTCAAAATTTTAGCTCATTGGACGTTTACTTTACAAGTTACAGTGGTTTAAGTGACGCTACTTTTGCATTTTTCAAAACAATGGAAAATCTGAATTTCTCACTTACTATTTTTACTTATTAATTTATATTTATTATTTTTACTTGCAAATTAAGGACTAATCTTCCATCGATAGATTTGTCGCTTTCTTATTTATAAGATAAAGGAAATATCCCCTTTATGTTTTCACCCTTTAGGTTTTCACTGTATATTAAGATTCTCAAATGTCAGACATTTTAAAGAGATTTTTACCGAGACAGTCGGAATACTATTACTGACTTGTATCAATTCAATGAACAACAAAATATATTAAAAGAAGTTGTCAAGAAATTGGACATAAAAAATACCTTACATTATATGAAAAATGAAACATTCTTTAGATTATGTCGTAGATAATATTTGCTGCTTCTCAAGATATGTGATGAGAATGCAAAACCATAAATGAATCGTCTGACCTTCATGAACTCATAATGAGATACACTACATTAGTATCTTATTGAAATAATGATGATACTTCCAAATAATGTAAATATTTTTAAAGACAGTAGGTATACAAGCCTTACAAATTTAAAAGATGTGCATATTTCATCAAATCCAAGTTTAGTTTTTTATTGTCCATATTTACGACTAGTATAATTATTAATTATAGGTATAGAGGAAGTAAAGAAATAAAAATATTTTTTATCGAATGTCTCGGTAATTAATTAATATAATGCGTTCAAATGATGTTCAAATGACAAATGCGGGTTCATTCGCTTCCGCACAAACACATATCGAACAACTAGTTCTTTGCTGTTCCTCTGCAACCTTCGCGCGTGTTCTCTTGGTTATTTATAGACGGCGTTTTAGCAGCATTATCAACGACAACAAATTTTAGCAGTATTACCAGTGATAACTGAGCTAGCTGCACCTATATATTCATGTGTAACGCACGTGACAGGCGCGCGCTTTAATGTTTACCACATTAACGTGATATGGAACTGTACACAGATGTATACCGTTTCGTTAATAGTATCGTAAAAATGTGGTCTATAAATAACCAAAAGAACACGCGCGAGAATTGCAGAAAACCATCAAAGAATTCGTTGTTTCGTGTGTCTGTGTGTTGAAATAAATAAACCATTTGTACATTTCAACGCAATAGATTGATTATTGTCTTGTTACTCAAAACATTCGATAAAAAATGAATATTTTATATTTCTTTATTGCCTACATCTCTATTAAGTTATACGTATAAGGAATAAAAAAATAAACTTAAATTTATTAAATATTAAAATATTATAAAATATTAT